TACAAGTTAAAGACTGGAATGTGACACTTTAAACATACAAGCGGACTGGACTCTGTCACTCTGCTGGTTCTATTTGGTTTGGGTAGTCAATCAAGGCAACCAAGCTACCAGCTGATGAATTGTTAATGGATCAGTGACCACTGACGGGACAAGACGTGACTTTGATGTATGGAAAATCATTGGCCGTCGTGTGGTGGCTCAGAAAAAAAGATTGAGAGAGAGAGAGCCGCCTGCCTGCTGCCTGCTGCCTGCTGAGCGGGACATCATGAATCCGGCCATGCATGCTCTAGCTAGCTTGGACAGTCAATCAGGGCATACGAGGCCACTAATTAGCAGAGCCGAACACGGCTCAATTTTGACACTCGGCCTAAACTAATGAGCTCAATCCAGGAGGCCCTACAACAAGCTGGCTTGGTCGAATAGACTAGACACCAGAGCCCGTTAGTCGTAATTAGTCTCAACTCTCAAGCGCCTATCATCTTGCCATCCGTATCTTATATTTCCAGCATTAGAATCCCCAGCAGATTTATTGCTTTGTCTTTTTTAGGCCTTATCCTTGTCCCAATTATACGAGGTTCATCACATATATATATATTTATATATTTATATATTGTCTTTTGAAAAATAAAATAATTAATAAAATACTGGAGGGTTTAAGTGTAATATTAAATACAATTGGTAAATTGATACATAAGATTCGACAGATTGGGCTGCCCCAACACCTATAGGCTATAGTTTCACCCCTGCGATGGAATTTCCAGTTCCAGCACCAAGTAATAATGTTTACAAGGAATATTAACTGATGTGTCATCGAGGGAAGAGCCCCTCTTATTTACAGCCCAAGCTGTTGAATTTAGATTGCCAAATATTCTTGTTCCCAACTTATCGTTATTTCACTGCTGATACTGGCCTGATACACCATGTCAACCACGAAGACGTTTGTCCCATATGTCAGCATGATGTGAATTCATGTCGTGTTTAGCCCAGAATGGTCCAGCTCTGATAGAGAAATTCACTGACTTCACTAATTGAGTCACCTTCAAATTTTCTTATTAGGTTAAGCCTCTTGAATTACACAGCAGAAGCATGTCAGAACATTGATACCTTGAGTGGAACTTTGGAAACTAACAAGTAGGAAATGTGGAAATAATTTGGGTTTGCCAGKTTTAGCAGCCAAGGTCCCAAAGGACAAAAAACCAGAAAATAACCAAATGGCCCTTCCTGACCAGTTAACTCTATTATGTTGTCCTTATTATCTTGGATTCCTTATCACTTTTGACATATCTTCACCCTCCTCAAATTAATTTTATTCAGATTAACTGACCATGATGGTTGTGTAGACAAATGATAATATCAGTGATAAAATACATGGGCCCATAATTAGAGGTTGAAATGTTGAATTGTTGTATATATGTCCCATGTATTAAAAGACTTGGTGTGGACCATCTGCAGGTAATTATTGCATTTGATCCGTTTTAGCAATTACAATGTTGAGGAACGGAGAATTAATATCAATCTAAAGTTTAAAGGTTCATGAAATGAAGTTCATCCAGAATTAATTGCTATATCTGTGCTGGATTTCTGGATATGTTCATTAACGTGAACTTTCTTCTTGCTTCCATGAAATGGGTCTAACCCTCCCAGGTTGAGCTATTCATGAGTGGATACAATTCCTGAACGATCAAATTCAAACGCAACCTCAAATCCAAACGCCCACAAGACAAAGAAAGTAAGACAACTTGGTGTTGGTGGGCTCGCCTGCTTGACCCAATTTATGAAACTCTGATTTGCAATCTACATAGAACACAGTCAAGACCAAACTACAGTATTACTATGTGCATTGCAGGAGCTGAGCTAACCATAAGCATGCCATTGCTTACTATTAACAACATTTAAATTTATGTATATAGCGTTGGGGAGTAAAGCCTGAGATTTCATCACCTTAATTATCTTAAGACAATGATTTTTGAAACGTGATTGTAGTGGACAAAGTCTCAACTTTGTTGGGCTTATAGGTGATAAAATGAGGTAATAGCTCAAGTGGCTGAACTAAGGCCCCGTTTGCTTCATGGGAATAGGGGTCTGGAATTAGAATTGGAATGGGCTATTCCGATTCCAATTGTTTGGTTGGGCAGAGTCGGAATCCCATTCTCATTCCTGCTGGAATGGCCATTCCCTGCCTCTCCCTTGGGAATGAAATCTCATTCCTGTTCAATTCTCATTCTTATTCCTGTCTGAACCAAATTCCAAAAGATTTAGATTATGATTCTGGTTCCGGTTCTAACTGGGAACCAAATAGACCCTAAATGGAATTGTTAGGGTCCATTTAGTCCGCAGTCGGAATCAGAATCGAAATCCTCTGGAATTGGAATCAGAATGGTCAATTCCCATAATCTGTTTGGTTTAGACAGGAATGAGAATGGGAATTAGAATCAGCAAGAATGGGATTTCATTCCCAAGGGAGGGGGAGGGAAGGGCCATTCCTTCAAATGGGGGAAAGTCATTCCAAAAGGAATGGGGATAGGACTCTGATTCCGCCCAACCAAACAATTGGAATCAAAATAGCCTATTTCGATTCCGATTCTAGACCCCTATTCATGCAAATCAAATAGGGCCTTAGCTTTTCTTTAGTGAAGAAAGTTATTGAGGAAGTTGTGAACTCAATAAGTGATGAAATGAAATTGGACTAATCAATATAACTTCAATATTTTATTATGGGTTCAATTATGATATTGGAATCATGGTTCAAAGTATCGATACACCTCTATGTATCAACTGAGGTGTATTGACACTTTGAACAATACTCCCCCCTCCCCCTCCCCCTTTTTCTTTTTTCTCTTTTTAAGTTTTAGTTTTAAATACAATTTTATATATTATTTTAAAAAATGAATGGTTTTCCAAAACTACCTATAAACAGATTTATCGGGAACCAAAAGATACAATACAATATACCCGATACAGGACAATCATATTGAAATTTTGATCCTTGCTTGTAACCACTGAAAGGATATAATAAAAGTGGCAACCAATCATGTGGCATTTATCAAAATTCACCCATCTGTTGATTTCTCATCAAGTTCCTTTTGGTATTGTGTTTTTCAAGCAGAATGGATTTTTGCCTTTATTATTTAATTATTTTATTCACTAAAAGACAAAGTAATATATATATATATAAGTCATTTAATTGAGCTACTTCAACTATTACTAGACGACTCTTAAGATGGTTTGATCACATGTAGAGAACTAGTGAGAGGGAATGATTTATGGTATAAGTTGAAAGGTTTAGAAGAGCTAAAGGCAAACCAAAAATGAGATAGTGCAATAAAAAATCATTTAAAGGCCCATAATTTAAGAATGGATATGGCACCGAATAGAGCAACATGGCATAACAGGATTCATGTAGCCTACCTCACATGATTGGGACAAGGCTTGATAGAATTGAGGTCAAGACACTTTGAGCTGACAAGTGTGAGAATGTGCATTCAAGTCTGAGAGTTCCATTTTAGAAGAAAAAAAAAATGGAGGTAATCATGTTGGTATTCAATATACCCTTCTAACTTTCTAGATGAGAGGTACTCCATATATCTTTAATTCAAAAAAAAATGGAATATAACCAAAAATATATGATTTGATTTCGAAAGTGAAGATAGTGTAGAAAACTATTTGAACTAATTTTCCTTATTTCTAAAGTTATGCCCACTAAGTCCTATAAACCCCATTTGTGTTCAATATGCTACAAATTATGAAAAGAAAAAAGCTAAAAGAAAAAGAATGTTTATCTATATTCCTTCTATCTACTAATAGGAAAGAAACTTGGTCTTTTAGAATTATATGTTGTCCATTATTCAAATAGATAAATGATTAATTAAATTAAAGTATAAAGGTAAAAAAGTATATTTATCTTCATAAAACATTGCAAAAAGTAAAGGAAAAAATAAAAGAAAAAGCTACTTAAGATTTTGTGCAATCCTCCAAACACAATAATGGCATTCAATAGAATGCTATTCAATGCTTGAAAAGCCATTTTAGGAGTAACTGGGGTAGAGATGTGGGAACAGTTTGTTGGTAGGAGCAAAGTTTAAAGTAGCAATATGACTATTTAAAGGGAGTTTTGAGAAATATTTTTTAATAAATAAAATATACAAATAATATAGTTTTATGAGATTTTTGAAAAAAAAAACTAAGAAAATGTAAATATAGAAGGATCAAAATCAAAATATCTATACACCCCTTATGCCATATCTAGGTGTATCGATACCTTGAACCTTGGGTAGGATATCAAAACACCCTTTATTGCGAGTGAAAATTTAGAAATATACCCATACCAATACTTTCCAAAAAAAAATTAAAAGGCTTACTTTATCTTTTATTTYTTCTTAAGATGAGGAGAAGAAGAATAGCCCATGGAATTAAGAAGAGCACATWGAGAAAACATGGTTAATGTGTGGTCGTCCTCCAAATCCCAACCATTCCGTGGAATATTTGCATACTTAGGTGGCGTCAGGTAAAAGGAAGGAAAATCATTAAATACATCAATAATTTTTATTTTTATTTGAAAATCTCCTTTTATTATATCATAATTAAAGCTAGTAAGCAACAATAATACAGATAAGACTGTTTTTCAAGATTCTCGCTGAACTATAACGACCAATCAGAACTTACCAGGTGGTCAGGGGGTGCATCTCAGTTTATCCAAGGATGCTGGGCCAATCACCATTCGCCACGTCGCACATAAAATGCGAGGCCTGAAGCCACGAATCTGACGTGTTATATCATGATTGGCCCTGTATTATAACGAAACTGTAGAATATTTGAACTAGACCCCTGATATATAATGTACGTAAACCTGATTGGTCCATTGTTTCTTTCTACCACACGTGTCTTCTCAAAGTATCAGCCTCAGCCCATTCATTCGGAGGACCCACAACGCACTTAGATTAGATTAAACCCCCACCACTTCTCTATATAAACCCCAATTCCTCTCCCCCTCAGTCTCGCTCCACCCCTCCCTCCCTCCGGCGGATTTCTCCACCTTGGGCCGCCACCGCCTCCTTCAATTCTGCTCCTAGTTTGGCAGAATAGATCGATAGAACTCTTCTCTATACTTTCTGCTAACGTAGAAGGTAGAACAAGAAGACCACACCACAGCCATAAGCCATCACATTTGGAGCCACTCTACTTTACGAGCCTTTTCTCTACATTTAGTGCAAATCGTCAACCTCTCCGACCGGCCGAGAAAAGAGAGCCACTAAGTTTGGCAACACCGCCTCTAAATTTTGTAGCAATAAACGTCAGAGCCCCAGTGTAACTTGGCCCAGAAATGGGTAACGCCGACTACGTATTCCCCTCGAGCGGCGACTGTGGGCATCGCGTGGCGATACCACCGTCACAGCCATTTTACAAATCACTGAAGAAATCCTTGAAGGAGACCTTTTTTCCCGACGACCCAGTTCGGCAATTCAAGAACCAACCACCCTCTCGGAAGTTCATATTGGGCTTGCAGTACTTCCTACCCATTCTCGAATGGGCTCCTCGCTACACTTTCCAGTACTTCAAAGCCGACCTTATCGCCGGGATTACTATCACCAGCCTCGCTATCCCCCAGGGGATAAGCTATGCCAAGCTAGCCAACTTACCACCGATCCTTGGCCTATGTGAGTATTCGAATGTCGGGGAACGAAGATAATTCATAATCTTAAGTAACATAAAAAGTTTATTATTATTATTACTATTATTCTTAAAATTAAGTTTTGTCATCATGAGCAATGCAGACTCAAGCTTTGTCCCGCCGTTGGTGTACGCCATGATGGGGAGTTCCAGGGATTTGGCCGTGGGGACTGTAGCTGTTGCATCACTCCTTACGGCTTCTATGTTGGGGAAGGAGGTGAATGCTAATGAGCATCCGACGCTTTATCTTCACCTTGCTTTCACGGCTACATTCTTCGCCGGAGTTCTACAAGCTACCTTGGGAATCTTAAGGTTGGTATGATGAAATAAGATGAGAAACTTGGAATGGGAAGAGGGTCCCTATTCCCATATCCAACATTTCAGTTGATATCTGGTTCTTCCACTGTAGGCCGGTGTGATACAGACTTAAGAAAGTAAAATATATATAGATCAATGTTACGCTTTCTGTCATAGCTAGCTCTCTCTGGGTGGGTTGGTGGAGTGGATAAGGTTTTCTCAGGTTTTTTCATTTTGCATGTTTAACTAACGATACTGGTAGCTAAAAAGACATGAGTTGGGAAAAGAAATGGATAGATATTAACTCCAAAAACAATGATGAGAGAAAACTGATGAGTATTTTCCTTAATTTTGTCTGAAACTTTTGGCGTGTAACTCTGCACAGGCTTGGGTTTATCGTGGATTTTCTGTCACACGCAACAATAGTCGGTTTCATGGCCGGAGCAGCCACGGTTGTTTGTCTACAACAGCTGAAGGGGATCCTTGGGTTGGAACATTTCACCCATGCCACTGATGTTGTTTCTGTCATGCGTTCTGTCTTCACCCAAACACATCAGGTTATAATCAAATTTCTCCTTCATCCAAAACCCAAAAACAATAGTCACTGAGTACAAGCATAACCTCTAATAAATTATGGGTTTATTGGTTGCTTTAATTTTAGGGTGGCCTTTTCTTTAAAGGAGATATTAAAAAAAAAAATCTTTTCTCCTATAACAGTCAACCATGATTCCATACTGATAGTTTTCCAGTTTTTAAGAAGACCACCCAATTTTTCTTCGTCTGTTTTGGTAAGCAGAAACTTCACCCAACTTAAAATTTAATCTAGCATGACAGAGACAGAGGATATATACTATGGCTTTTCTTTCTGTACATTTTTTATCTCTTCTTTATTTACAAAAAATGAGAGAGAGAGAGAGAGAGAGAGGTTGCTCAAGAAAATCAACAACCAGGACTTTTAGGTGTATTACAATGAAACATGAATTAAGGACTAACCTCAAATCTTATTCGGCCACAGATTAAAAGAAAATCACCCATAAGGACAATTTTCTGGTTTTATTTTTTTGAAACACGAGAATTAATTTAGCTATTGAAACATATGAATTAACTTCTATTTCTTCACTTTTTTTCTCTTAATTTTGTTGGTTTCTCCAACTCATTGCTGATGATGATGATTGTTGTTGTTGTTGCAGTGGAGATGGGAAAGTGCTGTACTGGGCTGCTGCTTCCTCTTCTTTCTCATGCTCACTAGATACTTTGTAAGTAAATCTAGTAACTATTTTTGTTGTTCATCAAACTAGTGTAGGACAGCACGCTTTTAAAGTAAATACAATACAACAAAATACAACTATGCCCACTTCTATTTTAGTTGCCCAAAAGTGATAACAAACAGCAATAATTTGAACTTTCATATGAGTATGTCTGCAAGAAACCAAAATGGGTTTTTTGTTTTCAACATAGTTATATTTATAAGACATATCCTTTTCTTATTTGAACCCTGGTTAATCCTTCCTCATTTGCTAGGGTTACAAAGCTTAGTGAATTCAACTGTAGAAGAAAAAGTTGCTACACTTTTTATAAGATTCCCAAAAAGCTCACCAACTTAGGGGCGGAAATGGGTCGGGTTAGAAAGTGACCTCGCCCGACCATGAGACTGTATCCTAATGATCATTACACTTTAGAATTAACAAAAGAAAATTAAAATGGAACAAGTCTCTATTTTCTAATCTAAGCAATGGGGTTCATTAAGTAATTACAAATGAGCCTGTTTCTTGCCATATTTGTTAAGAATCTTAAGAAACCAAATCTTTTATTGATTAGGTGGTAGTTTGGGATTACTTATTGGATAAACATGATTGTCATAATAAGTGTAGGTATTTTGAAAATTACGTGAAGGGCCAAAACTGGACAGAAACCCAATAAGTGCTTTTTTCAAAAAGCGCTTGAAAAAATAAAGGGCAAAATTGTGGATTATTCAAAAATGGGTTTTTTTTTCTGAAAAAAGTGCTTATTCGGGTTTATTTTCCAAACAGATACAACAAATAAATGTTTATTGGTGTAGTACGTCCCGGCCTAAAATAAGTATTTTTTCAGTAAGTGCTTAAAAATAAGTACGGGGACTGGGCAAGTTTTTAGCAAGCAGATGGGCCCGTTTTTGTTCCTTCCTTTCTTTTGTTTCTCTAATACTCAATTTGAGGTCCATTAGGTTAAATTCTCACTTCTCAGTCTTTAATATAGAGTTGAAATTCTGTTTTGTTTTTGACGGGGAGCAGAGCAAGAGACGGCCAAGGTTCTTTTGGATATCTGCCCTAGCGCCACTTACGTCCGTTATTCTGGGAAGCCTCCTCGTTTACTTCACTCATGCTGAAAATCATGGCGTTCAAGTGGTGAGGACTGTTGACTGAGGAGTCCTATTTCACTTCTTCTGCTGTTTTATTTTCCTTGATATATATATATATAGGTGTAGCAATTCATCGACGCCCTTCAATATGCATGGTCCCACCAAGCTTGATGAAGCAGTTGGTGGGACAAAACAAATGGTTCTGATCGATGTGAAGTTACAATCGAATTGATTTATAATATCTTTCGCTGCACTGCTACGTAAAGGTGTTTGACACGGTGCATTCTCTCGTCATGTTTTGTACAGATAGGACACTTGAAGAAAGGGCTCAACCCCCCGTCCTTGACCCACTTGACTTTTGGGTCCCAGTATCTGACGGTGGTCATGAAAACCGGAATCATCACCGGCGTGATCGCTCTCGCTGTAAGTCTGGGTTAAATTATTCCCTTCGCGTCATCGATATTTAACCAGAGGTCCAGAGCCCACCAAGCTCCAGCGCTCGATGATAACGTCTTTGACTCTTCTCAGACCACGAATGCCTCCACATACTTTAATAATTCTTGAGTCGTCCGGTCGGGCCATGCCACGTTGTTTGGTGGGTAGGTCCCGCAGCTGAGGGAGCTGCACGTGACCAAAATGTTCAATCACGTGGTTAGAGAATGGAGGACTGAGGAGCATAGTCGTAATGTGGGGGGTGGGTTGGTGTTGGAGGTTGCTCTGCCCCGTCACCCATGTGGGTTGGTGGCTGGGTGACTGTTAACGAGGGAACAGTAGTGGCTCAAATTAGCATTTGGTGGTGTATTTTTACCTTGTAAACTAAAGAGCAGTGCGCTTGTTAAAACACAGGAAGGGATCGCAGTGGGGAGAAGCTTTGCTATGTTTAAGAACTATCACATCGACGGAAACAAAGAGATGATTGCTTTCGGCATGATGAACATAGCCGGTTCCTGCACTTCTTGCTACTTGACTACAGGTTATTTTCATTTATTTATCATCAATATGTCAAAATGCAATGCCCTTCTCACCTTCTATATATGTCTATGCGCAACTCTGATTAAAAAGTTAGGGTTCCATGGTTTTCAAAATCGGACTGGACGGTCTGACCAGAAAAACTGGAAAATGGTTTTGTTCCATCCTAAAACCCATTTTGTGGTCAAAAACTGTTAATTCGGTTAGCAAATGGCTGACTCGGGTGATTGAACCGTTGACCTAGATAGTGATTTTTGGCTGCTTTTTATTTTTTATTTTTTTAAGTTAAAACGGTTCATCCATTTGAACCGGACGATCGAACCATTCAACCCAGGTACTGGTCCCTAAAATGATTTCCTACCTGGTCTAGTTTTAAAAACCTTGGGAGTGTTCACTTGAGCCAACCGGTTGGGTCCTGTTGGTTCCTCCTAGGCCCTAACCCACCCTGATGTTGTATTAAGTCCTCAATCTTAAGCCATCCATGGTCTGGAAGGGAAAAAAATAGTTAAGTACACTGCAACCCAATGCAGAATTCTGAAATGACAGCTTCCATGGTCTATTAGTAGCCCCCCCCCAAACTGCATCCTGCCCATGAATTTGGCATCAACTCACGGTCAGAATTCATCCCCCCTGTACGATGGGGCTAGAAAATTCTGACCTAGACCGATCAGTCAATTCCCCCTAAAAAAGAAATCCCAAACTTCAAGGCTATGGGGTTAAAAAAGGCATCTAAAAAAAGCTATAGAGTTAAAAGTCATTGTAAATACAAAAGGGGATTTTACCATTCAGTCCACCCCTAGGTGGAGCTACTAGTAGACTAGGGGTGGACTGAATCCTGCCCGTGAATTGATGCCAAATTTATGGGCAGGATGCGGTATATAAGAGGGCTACTAGGAGATTAGGAGGAGACTGCAAATTAGATTTCTGAGGTCCAAAAATCACAATACAAAAATACCCTCTATATGTGTAGGGGTATAGGTGGGCCAGCCAAAATCCAAACCTAACTCTAGTAAAAGAATCAAAACCTTAACCTGATCCTACACCTAAATAATAAACCTGACCCCAACCTAACCTTCTAAAATCGGGTCAAACCGGACTTATCATTTAACCCGACCCATTGATATCCCTAAATGCATCCATCATCAATACTGTTACAACAGGGTGAACTAGCCCTGTTTACAACGCCAAATTTTTCCTGATCCAGCCCGACCTTTAACTGCATCTTCTATTGTTCTATATATAACCCTAACACTAATACAATTGGGTTAATTAATTAATAATTGGGTTGGGTTTGAGAAGGGAATAAGTTCGTAAATATGCATATGATATGGGTATTTTTGTATTTTTAACTAAAAATGCATTTGATGTTAAATTATTCATTCAAAGACTGAGTCATAATAATATGAATAGATATGGCCCTGACATAATAAATTGACAGAATAAAATAGGATTCATATAACCAATAATCCTGTATGGTTGACAATGCTTAGATGCTGATTGAATCTTTTCTCCTCCCCCGCGTCTCTCATATACACTGCCTAAATGCACATATACTTATGGTAAAGGATCTAATGGTTTAAAAACTTGACCTTTTTGGGGATTGATTCTTGGGTCAAATGGTTCGATCATCTGGTTTGAATAGATGATTTGTTCTGACTTAAAAAACGAATAAAATAGAAAAATGGTCAAAAACTATTATTTGGATTGATGCCTTGGTCTATGAGTTTCTGACAAAATCAATGATTTTGGCCAAAAAACAAGTTTTAGGGTGAAACAGAACCAATTACTTGATCGTTCCTAATCAACCAGTCCAACCGTCCGGTCTGATCCGGTTTTCAAAACCATGAAAGTTCATGATCTATTGGCATTTCCCAATCCCAACCCAAATAATACTACAGTTTCAACCCCCAATTTTTTTTTAAAGAGTACCCTAATATTAGCTAGCTAGGCTTAGAAATAAGAAAAGCAGCAGTGGTGTGTTTTGTCATTTACTAAGTAATTAATAAAATAGAGTGCAATTGGAATTGCAGGGCCATTCTCGAGGTCAGCAGTAAACTTCAACGCAGGCTGCAAGACGGCAGTTTCCAACATTGTGATGGCAACCGCAGTGATGATAACATTGCTGTTCCTAACGCCATTGTTCCACTACACTCCTCTGGTGGTGCTCTCTTCCATTATTATTTCTGCAATGCTTGGCTTGATCGACTATGAAGCCGCCGTCCATCTGTGGCAGGTCGACAAGTTCGACTTCATCGTCTGCATCGGTGCATACATCGGTGTAGTTTTTGGCAGTGTCGAGATCGGCTTAGTAATAGCGGTACGTATACCTGCTGTGTGCTACTGCTGAGGGTTGTCAATAAGCTCCCTACCTCCTCTGGCACAGTCGACACTAGAGAGGAGCTCTCAATTACTCTCATCGATCTTCTAATTAAATGATTCGTTAATTTACGTGAACGAATGTATGGATGAATGCAGGTCTCTTTATCAATACTTAGAGTGCTTCTGTTCGTGGCAAGGCCAAGGACCAGTGCTCTTGGCAACATTCCCAACTCCATGACTTATCGAAGTTTCGTTCAGTACCCAGTAGCTAATAACATCCCTGGAATCTTCATACTTCGAGTCGATGCTCCCATCTACTTTGCCAATGCAAACTACTTGAGAGAAAGGTGCGTATATAATATTAATTAATAGTTACTCCTGTTGAGACCCCAGTACTTAAAATCGAACAAACAAACGCATAAAATTAATTTTGTTCTTAAATTAAAAGGATCTCGAGATGGATCGGTGAGGAGGAAGAGAAGTTAAAATCAACAGGAGAAACCAGCTTACAGTACATTATTCTGGACATGGGCTGTATGTATCTATATCCTTCTCGATCAGTTCTCACTGATGTTGATGTTTCAGTTTTACCATAAAAATTAATCTGTGACTCCTAGCTACCTCATAACTAAAACAAAAAAGATAATTGACAGGCGTAGCTAGCATAGATACAAGCGGGATCAGCATGCTGGAAGAGGTGAAGAAGAATATCGACAGAAGAGGGCTAAAGGTAAAAGATATTATATGGTCTTAACTAGGCTACTACGTACTGCAAATTTCAATCAATCTACTGAAAACATTTTCTTTATTAATTTGCTGCTTTGTCAACCCACCACCCACCAGCTCGCCCTAGTCAACCCAGGAAGCGAAGTGATGAAGAAGCTAGACAAATCCAAGTTCCTTGAGGACATTGGCCAGGAATGGGTCTATCTGACGGTTGCAGAGGCAGTGGGAGCATGCAACTTCATGCTACATACGTGCAAGTCAGCCCCTGCTAGAGAGATTGTATGAGTTTAATTAATTTATAGTAAATTAAGCATTAAGAGAGCGAATCGCTATGCTTGTATGAGCTTTTATGTACGTAATCTAGCTACTATATCCTACTAATATTGAAGGAGGACTCGCACATATTTTGCAAATCCAGTGAACCAGAGCGGGTTTCGCCTCCTTTAAGTGAAACTTGGGAGGCTTTTCTCTCCTGACCTTTTGTATTCTGTAGAAAATTTTATATATATGTTCATTAAGAATTAATCAAGCTTTATTTTCTTAAATGTACTGTTTGTAAGGCTGCGTTTGGAAACGATGCAAATAAGTGTGAATGCAAATATAGAGTGTAATAGTTCATACAAATTTACTTTCTTACCAGACTTTTAGCTGTAATGGATGCAAACATGAATTTTAATAAAGCATATGCTTTTTTTATCAAAAGCCCACTTGAATGCACATTTAATTCTTTTTTATTGAGTACTTTTACATCTTATTGTCGATATAAATATGCATTGGCACGTCATTTGTCAATGCATAATTGTAATGTTGCCAAAACACAAGCAAAAGTGAACCAGAGTGCAAATTTACCCTGAACTGGAATTTACACTCTATTTGCATCGTTTCCAAACACAACCTAGTTTATGTCAGCATCAACAATTTCATGTTTAATTTAATTTATACTAAGAGGACTGATGCCAGCACTTGAATCTTGACCCCATCAAAAGAAGAAAATAAAAACAAAATGACAAAAGCCAATAAGTGCAATTTCGACCAGGAAAGGAACTTATAAAGAAAAGTTACAATGAGCCTAGGGGTTTGAAAGGGTCAGGCAGACCCAAAGGAATGGATGACCCGATTATATAGGGTTATTGTCATCAGCACCTATGCCTCGTCCCAATTATATGGAGTCAGTTACATGAATCCTGTTTCACCATTCCATTCTGTTGAATGTCGTATCCTTCGTTAATTATCGTTGCTTAAATCATTTATTAAATCTACGGTTCTACTCAAGTCCTTTTCCATCTGTTCTAGCTCTTCTAGTCCTTCAACATGTATCAAATCACTTTTCCTAGGTGATCTTTTATGCAACCCTAGTATACAGGGTCTAGTAAATGGATCAGGATTTGTTCCAAACGGATTAACACCCAACCACCATATATACATATATTGACATTATTAGAAAAATACCCCCAATTCAATTTTGATAGATTACAAGTTTTTTTCTGATATCATAGTCAAACCCATAATATTATGTGTGCCAATTTAACAAAAAAAATAGTTATTCTCAAATTAATTCCTATTAGAGACCCTATAGTGGCAACTGGTTCTTCGCATTGACTTACAGGGTCGGGTCTACCCTGACCTGGACCAGACCCGACCCATTGACAGAACCTAGATGAGCACTTGCAGAACCTAAAGGTCGTCTTCATAAGAGTTCTCAATCGCCTCATCTTCTTTAGTCTTAGTTGGACCCATTTTAAGTTATATAAGCCAGGTTCAGGTACGAGTGTTATATAAGCCAGGTTCAAATCATATTTTCCTGTCTTTACCTTTAATAAAATGACATTTAGAGATACAATAATAAATTATGTTATATTTTTTTAAATAGAATACCTATAACTACACTATTACGAATAACAAATAACTATAGTGGGGCCCAATCTGGTTTAGAGTTGTCAATAAGTCAGGACTATGTAGAACCAATCTTGAACCAATTATTTAATTGGGATCAAATCATAGACCCGATTATATTGAAAACAATAGTTAAAATAATACTAATTTATTTTTATGTTAATAAGTTAAACATTTTTAACTAATACTATCTTATTTATTATTTATCAAATTTACTATTTTAAACATGAAACATGATAAAAATTACAAGAAAGATAAAAAATTATATATTTCATAAAATATTTTGTTTTGGACCCGAATCAATTCTGGACAGGTAAGAACGAAAATCAATCCAATAATTAATTAAGACAAAATCATGGAATCAAAACCGTTATAATTATGTTCAATCAATTTAGCTCCATCATGATAAACCCAACCCATTGGTTTAGCCATAGTTTTTCTTAAATAAATTAATGTTTATATAATAATTTATTAAATTGAATAAAATAAATAAATAATAGTTTATTGGGATGGGACTGGTATAGGTTGTCTCAAACCAGACTTGACCCATTAATAGCCCTAAATATTGGGCTGAAGGGGAGAGAATAATTTGGTAGTAAATTATTTCTAAATAAATAAATATATGTTTATTTGTTTTATTAAAATAAATAATTCATTTTACTAAATTATTTTATTGATTTATTTTATTAAAATAAATAATTTATTTAATTTTATTAAATAAATAAATGTTTAGATAATAATAATAAAATAAATAAATATTGAGATGAAGAATAGGAGGAGAGAGGGAATTGAGAAAGAAGAGGGATGGCATAATCTTAAATAATTGTATGTGACACTCCTATAATTTTCGAATGCCATAGAATCAATTACATAAGGAGGTTTGTCCTATATGTGGCACTCCTCTAATTTTTGAATATCATAGAAGTAATTAAATGGCAAGGTAAAGAAGGTGCATTTGTCTTATATGTAACATTTATGTAATTTTCAAATATTATAGAATCAATTATATAGGGAGGGAGGTTTCTCTTATACTTGACGTTCTTGTAATTTTTGAATGCCAACCAAAAGAGAAGTGAGAGAGAGAGAGAGAGTAAAGGAGTGAAGGGAGAGAAAAACACATGTCAAAAATTTAGAGCATGCCTATCAAGCCAAAAGCAAACCACGTGTCAACCTCCAGCACCTTCCCAATGTTTTAAGTATATTCTTATAGATTATAGATTCTCACTCTTACCAAAACAAGTCTTTCTTTTTTTTTTCCTATATTGGTTTAGAAATCTGAGGCCGGTTGGAGTAGAGCTGGAGCTGCTAACTGGCGAGGCTTTACCTAGGGCTAAGGTGCTGCTTAGGGCCCTAGAGAAGTCTACACTTGCAAAGAACAATGGACTAGGCCGTCCATACATAGCCCATCAACTAACAAACAAACAGTCAAAATAACACCAGATGATGCCTGCGTACCCCACCAATGAAGTCTTGATGCATCGTATTCCAGACCTGATTCTGGATCTTGATTACATCATGTGCTTACCAACCCAAAAAGGCTAACAAAATTAATTGTACACTACACATGGACCAGCTTGCTACCATTGACAGTGGAACACCACACAGAACTCACTTGGTTAGAGAGAGACCTTTGTGGGCTGTGGGCACCACACATAAAACAGCCAATTTCCCTGAGAAACTAAGCCAAGCACAGCTTAGAAAGAACCTCCTCCTCTGTCTGATTTAGCCAAGCCTAGCTCTAACAATAATTATCTTGGCCAGGAAATGAATCGGATCCCTTTGGTTTGCAGTTAGATTCGGAATTCGAATCAGAATYAAAATCCTTTGGAGTCAGAATCTGAACCGAAATGATCTATTCCCACAGTCTGTTTGGTTCAAACAGAAATCGCAATGAAAATTGGAATCAGTTTGAATGGGATTTCATTCCCAAGGGAGAGCGGAGAGAATGGCCATTCCCTCAAATGGGGAAATGCCATTACATTAGGAATGGGAATAGAATTCTGATTCCATCCAACCAAACAGTTGGAATTAAAATGATCATTCCGATTCTGATTCTAGACCCTTATTTCCATGAACCCAACGGGCCCTAAAATTCTTTTTGAAATTCCTAACAAGAAGTAGCCTGAGGACATGATGACTATGAAACATTGTAATAAACAAACAATTACATAAGTAGATAAATTATTAGAGGATGGGTTGAAAAGCTAGACCCATAATGAATTGAAAATGTGGCAGAAAAGACCAAACGACAAGACAATGAAAACCCAATTTTCTAATTTTTGCATAGGCTCCCATAGAAGATCTCCTTGGTCAATAGTGCAAGTAGAACGCTCTAAAAGGGGCAAGAGGAACTCCAAAACATGGATCTTACATGGAGACAACGTGAGGATGTTTTCAATACTGTTGTGCCTTTGCCTCTTTAGAAGCTAACAGGACAGCTTTCATTAAAAAGTATACTAAAGCTCTCTTATGTCAAGGAGTTGTAATTAGTAGAAAGTAGAAATGTAGAGTAGAAAATAGAAGCTAACATTACAGTTCTCACCAACTGTTAACAGGAGATCCTCCTTAAAGCATGAACAGAGAATTGAGAGTTGCATTCATGGTGGCATGTCCTTAGGTGAAGCACTCCATGATTCTTTGAGCAGGAGCCATCATTTGGCTCAGTAAAGCACTCGAAATGATTCTGGCCAATTCATTCTGGATCATAACACCAAAGAAAAAAAGCGGGAAGGGGGTCCTTAACTGGGCTAGAAGTGCTGGACTGCAGCAGAATTATTTCTACTTTATTAGTGCTTTTGGGAACATTAATGGACACAACGGTTTCATAAAAAAACCTCATGGGGGCAGAAAGTTGAGTCAGATTAGTGGAGGTTCCTTTTTTCTAAGGAATTGGAATCGAAACTGCACAGAGATGTGGCATGCGAGAAAGCTAGGTTGAGTGGGAGACTAGGTGCCCAACTCTTTAACTAGTTGGACCCAATCAGCATCAAATGCCCCTAGCCAAGTTTGGTGACAAACATGCTGGTCTAAGTTTGCACCAAAGTGTTTCCATATACAGAGAGAGTTGTTTGAACATGATCCAATTGAATCATTAACTGTCTTCCACTACATATTTTGCTCAAGGTAGTAAGTAGTGAAAGGTAATCGGGGCCCAATCAATTAATTTAACAGTCACTTTTAATCAATAATTCAATGTAGTTCATGAACCTAGGATGTTGACAGCTTTAGCGTAGATCATGAAACCAACAAAAAGTTAGCGGTGCTTACGGTTCAGTTAACCAAGGGCTTATTTTTCAAATCAAAATGGTATTATTGGTTTTTGGAAATTCATGAACCAAAACTAATTGGTTAATTAATTGATTGGTTCGGTTTTTGATCAGTTTGGTTATTCAATTTTTTGGTTTTTTGATATTTATAATATATTATAAATAAATATATAAATATATCATATAAATACTAGAAATACATATAATATATTATATTATAAATACATATTTATATATAATGTATATATGTTTGTTTATAATATATAGATAATATAAAATGTATATAAAAAATATATAACATATATGGAAAACTTACATAATGTATGTATGTATGTATGTATGTATGTATGTATGTATGTATGTATATGTACGTATGTATGTACGTATGTATGTATGTATGTATGTATGTATGTATGTATGTATGTATGTATGTATGTATGTATGTATGTATGTATGTATGTATGTATGTATGTATGTATGTACGTATGTATGGAGAAGTAAGCGCAGAAGTAAAAAAATAAGGTATCAATTAAATTCTCTTAATTTCCTAGCAAAAATAAATAAATTCTCCTATTTATAGCATCTCTCTATTCCAATTAGATTTTGATACTCCATCCTGTGTCTTCACCTACTATTAAGAAATCTTCAGAAGAAAAGTTTTGAAAGCTTGCTTGGAAAAATGAATATTTATGTATCCATTGTATTAAGATCATTCACTACTTGGGCATGCCTAGATATTCTTCGGAATTTATTGTTTTAGACCAAATGGTTAACCAAGATTAAGGATCGACTCTATTGCGCATGTATTATGTCATGCATATACAAGGCCAAGACTAGATAGAACCAAGATGTCACCAATTGAACGTTCTTGCTCATCTTTTCAATTCACATCATAGTCTATTCTTTTTCTTTGCTTCCATGAAGAACCCAATTTAATCCAAATGCTGTTGACAATTCGGATCAACCAGAATTCCTCTGGTGAAAACAGGTGGAATTGTTGTCTAGCGAGCTTCCCCAACTTAGGGTCCATTTGATTATTGGGAATAGGGATCTAGAATTAGAATCCATTCCGATTCCAACCATTTGGTTGGATGGTATCAAAATCTGATTCCCATTCATGGTGCGATGCCATTTCTCCATTTGAGAGAATAGTCATTCCTTTCCTCTTTATTGGGAATCAGAATTCATTCCAGCCAATTCTGATTCTGATTCCAATTCCAGCCAGAACCAAGCAGACAGTGGGGAATAGACTATTTTAATTCGCATTCCAAAAGATTTATAATTCCAATTCTGACTGTGAATCAAACAGACCCTACTCAAGTACTCAGTCTCATTCATGCCACCACCACAGGCACCAACATGAAAGAACTGAGAATTGAGACTTGATTAATAATGTTGTCATTTACGATACTGATTGTAATTCAAAATTTAAAAATATTATAAACCATTTTTAGCTCGGAATCTTTGCATCAATACGCTTTGACCACCTATTTCAGCAGTTATCACTCCATCAGATGGCCCCTGAAGTCTCCTGTCACATGCGTAGTCCGTACTAACACCATTGTAAGAAAACGTTGACTCATGGTGTTCGGTTGCTGGCTTGCTGCAAAACTAATGTACTAACACCGTTGTAAGGCCAATGGATTGTGTATTGGGCCACTTGGCCCTTCCTGTTATCATAATTTGCGGATATCTTGGATGATATTGCATCCATATATCGGTTTGGGCGATTGATTTTCTGCCAGATTTGTCTCTGAAACACTGCTCCAATAAATCTCTCATCTAATAATCTGGAATGAAGTGCCTCAGAAATCAGAATGACCCTGCCATGCTAAAAGGGCAATAGTACAATACCAATATGGGCTAGTGATCTTGAATTCTTGATTGTTTGAACTTTGAACTGCATTCTTTTGGGATTGCTATGCCTAACATGCCCTAAGACGGTGATTTACCGGCATAATCAATCTTACACCTCCATTTTGAGGGCTTCTCCAATACCAAAACACCCCATTATTCTGCAAGACATTGCAAAGTACACCTAGAAAAATTTGACGATGAGATGAACAAAGCAACCTAACCTACTTTGGGCACTCAAAACTGATCACACTTAGAAACGAGATGAGGCTAAAAGTGATTTGCACCAGTAATCTGCAAGGGCCAAATTCCGGAGGGCGCATCTGCTGATTAACATAAATACATCCATCTGATTAAAAAAAAGGGCATAAAACTCGATGCCCTTTTTGCATAACGAGTGAAGTTTTTTTTTTGTAAGCAATAAATAAAGCTATGTTCATAAATCACAACAGTAACCTTGCTGTACTCTCATGATTGTAATATGATATTTTTTTGGTAATGATTGTAATATGATATTTTTTTGGTAATGATTGTAATATGATTTGACACACCATCAGTTATGCTTGTTGCTCAGGGTCTCAGAAACAAGAATAAAGGTTACGCACTCAGGTGATGGCAAATCCATCCAACCCCAAACAGAAAAAATAAGGGAAATCAAAACACTTGAAACAAGACTATGATAACCGTACACTAACGCCACAGGGACCAGATGCTCCTCTCACAAAACCATCACATGGAATTCAGAAATCACAATGCCATTGGGGTATGGGTTGGTGCATATCTCTGAAAGGCACTCTTTGCAAACCATCAAAATCCAAGCAGGAAACTGAGACAAGGAAAAACTTGATAACTTGATACTGTTTYCAACTTCTATTACAAGGCCTTCCATTTAAGAGGTGCCTGCCATTTTTCTCTAATAGGACCCAACCAGTGAAGAGGCTATTGAGAATTAGAGAATGTTTGCTTGAAGAGGCGAGGAAGTACTTCATGGGCGTTGACATCCAAAACCTCAGGGTCCCTGAAAATAAATTAAGCTTAGAAACCTATTTCAATGAGATTGTTGAGAAATAATTATCTCTTCAACTTATACATTAAAAATCATCCAGAACATTCACCTAGGCAACTCAGGTTATTCGAGTGTGATAGTTTATAAAGAGGGAACTCAAAGATTTTATTATCCGTTTTGATGGCACAAACTAATTACAATTGCCATATAGATAAGTCTACATTCTATAACACCTTCTACAAGACATGAATCAAAAACCCCCCAACATGCACACGCACACAGTGAGAGTGAGAGAGAGAGAGAGAGAGAGAGAGAGAGGGAGGGAGAGACCTGCACAGTGTGAGCCCCTTTTCACTTGAACTAGGAATAAACCACAACTTCCGCAGAACAGGCGACTCAAATTGGACAAAGAAACCATCACTTTGCCCATGTCTCCACTTCCTTGAACCTTGTCCTTTCCATACCTGCAGAGACAGCCTTTTACCATGAGATATTGTTCTTGGCAACTCTGCCTAAAAACAATGTTGTTGTAAGCTTCCCTTTATGGAAGAACATGCATACAGATGAATTCCTACTATAGGCTACGTTTGAATGTTGACAAGGCACCAATTTCTTGCAAGTTTACCTAGGTTCTCCAATGTTGACAAGGCACCAATCAAAAAAATAAAAGAACATGCAGCATTTTAGGAAATACTGAAATGGAGAGCTCCTAAAATGGCCCAACAAGCTACCCAAAACAGAAGCTATCAAAAAAAGAAGCTACCTAAAAGAGCAAAAAGTATAGAATGGTACAGGGAACACATATTATTCATTAAATGAAGACCATGATAAAATAATTAGCATTAATAAGAAGATAGAAATTTCTGCTCCACTTCTACTATAAAACATGGTGTACATGCTAGCTTCTGATTCTACCAATTGTTGGCTTAAGCAAAAAAAAAAAAAAAACTCAGCCCTATAAGGTAATTGAAGTTATTCTGATGTGTAGACAACATCCTAAACCTGCAAGTATAATTTTTTTCCAGGACAACAAAATGAATGGCATGACTAACATGGCCAATAAACACCTTCAAGTCCGTCTTCAAGAGAGCCTCCTAGCTTAGATGTGGAATTCCAAGTCCAGTAAACCCCATTAAAAAATAAATTTCAAATAGAACTAAGAATGGGACTTATCATCTTTTCAACACAAGCCTAACTTAATGTTACTAAATATAAGATCCAGAAAAAAACAGAAAAGGAAAAAAGAATTTGTTACCTGTGGATAAGATATAATACTTTTAGGTGCCACTAAGCAAGCTGCTCTAGAGAAAGAATCTTCTGCATACTGCCTTAGAAATGAAAAACAGCTGCTATGTGTATGGGGTGACTCAAATGCCTGGCATGGTTGATAGGACAATTCATTAGCAATTAAAAGGAATAGAGATAGAGTTTAGCATAAAACAATTCATCTGCTGGAATAGGTTTCTACCATCTCCAAATAAAAGGGTAGGTGCAGTCACAAAATCAAATACATTACAAAATTCAAAAAAAAAACACGGAGRAAATGAAGTAGGGTGGAGTTAACAAAGATATGTGATTTAATACCTTATCAATATTGACAACTGGAGCATACTTATCAGTTTGTGTCTTTTCCTTGTCAAGAAGGAAATGAACTCTTGCATCAACTTTAGATGTCTCATGCCATGATTTTATATTAGTCTCTATGGTCTCAACAAGGAAAGAGAAGATGTCTCTCCAATATTCTTCAGTTCCATATTTTTCAGACTGCAAATTAAAAGGATACGGTCAATTTCAGGCATCACAAAGTGTAGGAGTAACATATTAGTCTTTATTTTCTCAAAATCAGTTGAGAACACAATAGCAATAGCTTGGCTGTTGTGAATGTGTTCAAATAAGTGAATGAGGACAAACATGTACATTCATGGACAGCAGAAACAAGTTCTGTTAAAGACACCACACCCACCAGTTCAGATTTCAAGGAATCTAAGTGTTTTCCTACATCAATGTTGGATCGGATGCTTTCCACCTCTTGAGCTCGTTTTTTTTCTCTTGCCAATTGTGCAAGCCTCTTGATTTTTCTTGAAACTTCTGTATTCTTTGGATTGTACTGCAAAGCTATTTGGAAAGCAGCAGTAGCCTAAATTACACAGATAATGAGTACCATCACCAAAGAAGACATCTGGTGAAAGCAAGAACACTGAACAAAGTGAAATAACATTTTGACTTACATCATCATATCGCTCCATAGCCTCTAGTGTGCATCCTTTCCTGAAATAGCCCTACAAGCACATCAAACCAGCCAGTTGTTCAAGGATGGAAACTCAACAACCAATATGGGCAACAGAGAACAATAATACCTTTTCCCACTGAGGATTCAATGTGATTGTGGTCTCAGCATCAGCAAGTGCTTTTGTAAGCTTGACCAAATGTAGAAATGCTGCAGCTCGGTTGCTGTAAAACAGTAACAGGAAAAATGGTAAATGATAATCCACCAAGTCAGAAAAAAAAATTGCGGCAGACATACAGATGTATGTCCAATTTCAAAAAAAAAATCACAGGGTAGTTCCTTGTACAATAGAAGGGAAAACAACACAACCCAAGAAACCTCAAAAAACAAAAATGTCACAGAACCAAGAACTAAACTGGTGTTGGAGGGTCCAAGCCCCAACAAAGGACTTCTCCCAACCCCTTCCCTCACCAAAGCATCAGCCACATAATTCGCAAATTGAGTTACCCGTCTGAACAAGATGTTCACTCTGGATGCTAATGGTCTAGCCTCCCTGATGTGATGATGCACAACCTAAAGACCACCAAACACCATTCATCATCCACCCAATGACAAATGCAAGCCATCTTCTTATAGTTTGGGTCTTTGCTCTTAAAGATTTTTTTCTTCCAAGAGAAGGGATTTTGTACTCAAGTGATTTTCTACTTCGGGTGTAGAGAGTGGCATATTATAAAGCTTAGACATTTATCATGTAGAAAGCGTAATAAAATATTTTTCTTACTTTCAAAAAATTAAAAAAAAAAATTGTTTGCTTGTTTCCATGAAGGGGTAGAATCACTTCTCTCCCTCCTTTTTGGCCTAGATCATTTTTTGTCAAGTAACATTACTCAAATATTAACAGGAGAAAAACTAGCCATAGTGGTTTACACTCAACACAAACTTAGCTGGCAAATCAACTAGCACAGTAATTTTTTTTATGAATAACTAGCACAGTAATTTTTCAATTTTACAATGTCCCATGGCCCTGGTTCACCCCAACAGAAAGTATTATTTGACATACCAGATCATACTAGTGAGTCAGCCATGCAATTTGCTGGCCTTGGCACCCACCTAGACAAGTAGTTCAAGTTGGCACTCAATGCATTTGCATGTCTTACCAAATACCGCAAGGCCCATGGTACTTATTTCCCAAATTTCAACCAGTTTATCACTATTCATTACTTGATAGTCTCCCTCTACTTCAGAACCTGTCCAGCCATCTATTGAGTTTTTTTTCTGAAGAGTAAAAAGAGAAATTTCATTTAACAAAAGAAAGGAATACAATCCAAGAGGTAACAAGTTGGCACCTCACCATACACGGCAACTTTAAAAACTACAGCAATGAAAACTGAAAGGAATTACATCTGAATTTCAAGAACATTCCAAAAGTTTCCCCCCATATCTGATTTACTGATTTTGGAAAATTCTGGGAGCACCCAAGACCAATCTGCCACTAGTTTCCCAACCACAGTCACTAGTGATTCAATATTCTTAGACTTATTTCAAATAGTCTTCTATTTCTTACATTCCAGAGGGCCCAGCAAACAGMAAAAGGAATGCAGCTCCATATTATCTTTGCTTTCCTGTTGCTTCTGAAACTTGGCCAGGCTAAGAAGAGTTCAGCTGTTGATCTTGGCTGAAAGACTCTGACTCCAAACAATGAAGAATAGAATTTCCAAATAAAGATTGCAACCTTACAGGTGTAAAACAGATGGAGAACTGTCTCTTCATCCGAACTGCATAAAACACAGTAGTTAGCCAAGCTAAAACCTCTTCTCTTTAAGTGATCTGCAGATAATATGCTGTCCAATGCAACCAACCAAGCAAAGGCTTCCACTCTAGGAGGAACAGGATTCCCCCAGACCCCTTCCACTTGATCTGAATCCGTTTGATCATTCACCAAAGCCAGATAGAAAGACTTCACAGTAAACCTTCCATTTCTGCATTCTTTCCACCATAGCCCATCCCTCAAGGAGGTTGAAACCAATATCTTCTATAACTTTTCTAACAACTGAATGCACTCTTCTATCTCCTGGTCCAACAGAGGTCTTCTAAATTTAGGTTAGGACACCAAATTACCTGGTCACCCCTGAGTTCAAAGCATTGGTCAATCTTGACTTGATGATCAGTTAACCTGTATAACTGTGGGCACACCTCATATAACTTCCTGCTTCACACCACTCATCCTCCCGAAACCTTATTCTTGATCCATCTCCTACCTTGAATCTTACCAAGGTTTTGAAGTCTTGGTTAAACTGCATTATTCCTTTCCAGACACTCACTCCATAAGAGCTTGATACCTCCTTCAATTCCCACCCAAACTTCACCAACCCATGCTTTCCAACTATAACCCTCCTCCATAGAGATTCCCTATCCTTGTCCAACCCAAACCTCCATAGCCACATACCCAATAGAGCCTTATTGAATATTCTGACTCTTCTAAATTCCCAATCGACCCTTTTCTTTTGGCCAGCATACCTTGTCCCATTTTACCAGATTCTCCCCCTACCCCTTCCCACAAAATATATATATATATAGAAATAAAAAACTCTGAAGTTTCTCAATTCTTTTCTGCCACCTTTGCTGGTATCTTCAACAAGGAGAGGTAATATGCCAATGAGCAGTATTTTTCTTTCCAACTCTCCAGTTTGGCATTCAAACACCGCAGCATAATGTTCCAGCTCCTCCCTCCCTACTTCCCCCCACCCCAATCAACATACTCTTGGCCAGATTGACCTTCAAACCTGTGAGCAATTCAAAATTAACCAGTAAGGCCCTTAGGTTTGACACCTGGTCCACTGAAGCATCCAGAAAAATAAGAGCGTCTTGAGTGTCATCAACATACTGGAGATGAGAAATATAAGGACCTTCTGAGCCCACTTTAAAACCTTCAATCCTACCCAACTATAAAGACTTAACCATGAGCATATTCAGCACTCCAAGAACCCCCACTTCACATGGCCATAAGCCTTCTCAATATCAATTTTACACACCAGTCCGGTCTCCCACTCCTTATTCTAGAATCAATTTATTCGCTAGCCACCAGTACCCCACCCAAAATCTGCCTTCCTTTTACAAATGCCATCTGAGCTTCTCCCACCACCTCATGGATTATACCTCTCAATCTCCTAGACGTGCCAATAACTTGTAAGGGATACAAATCAAGCTTATTGGCCTGAAGTCTTTAATATTCACTTCTCCATCTTTCTTTTGTATCAGTGAAATAAAGGTGGCATTAATTCTTCTGTCAAGCTCTTTCAAGTCATAAAACTCATCAATCATTTGTACAGTCTTCTTCCAAAAAAAATCCAAACAGCCTTGATAAAGTTGAAGTTAAACCCATCCGGACTTGGGGCTCTATCCCYATTTATCTTCTTCAAAGCTTCTCTTATTTCCTCAATCTTGAACTCCCTTTCCAACCAATTTGTGGAAAAATCACTCAGCTTCCTAGGCTCCAAAGGAAGTTGCAACTAACTCCACTTTTTGTGAATTTCCAACCCCTGCAGGCCCTTAGAAACTTAAAACAATGCCTCCCTTATCATCCCTTGCCACAGCCCTATGCCTGAAACACCTAAACTCTTTTGRGCTAGATTGAAGGATGCAACTATGACTTGATATGCAGTCTACCAGCTTCTCTTTTAGACTCCTACATCAATTGTCTTGTTTGTGCAATTCATGAATGAGCCATTTAGACATTTGCCAAAAGATCCTCCATCACAATGAAGTATATTGTTTGCTAATGGCATAGTACTAATTTATGAGACTAGAATGAGGCAAATGCAAAGTTGGAACTAAGGACACATAATTTAGAATAACAATTGTTTTATTGGAAACGGTAACTTTCATTCAAAAACAAAACACAAGTACAATACAGTCACCCCATATAAGTCCAATATTATGATGCACCCCAAAAATATTCTTCCCTCATTGACCCTTGTTTAGCTAATTGATGTAGGATGAGTAGGGGTCCCCTACTAAATTAGAATCTGGTGGAGGGCTTTATGAGATGGATGAGGGACTGTGGGTGGTTAAAGATGAAGAATATGGATGAAAAGTAGGATGCTTGCTACTTGCTTTTCTTCTTACTAAAGAAAAGTAAGAGAGGGGGGAAGAGAAAATTTTCTGGCAACAACCAGAATTCACTAAACCAATCTTTATTTCATCAAGTCACTCTTCTTCAACTCCAATTACAATGAGTCTAATTATAGACTCAATTTACTAACTTGGATGTCCCCTTTCATACTGCAATTTGAACTAGGAAATTGACCTAAAACAACTCCTAATTGCTTTAGAACTGAGACAAATCAATAAGTAACACATAAGGACACTTAAATAAGGACTCTAACTCCTAAACAACCCTAATAATACTTTCCTAATCCCACTAAAACTACTTTAATTAAAAGACATCAAAATTACTAAAAATTGTAAACTGCAAGGTTACTAAAAATAGTAATTATGAGAATTAAATTACTATAAATAATAAGTCCAAGAGTTATCATAAATAGCAATGAAAATATTAAAAAAAACAGAACTCTATTCTTAAGATACCCACAATTAGAAAATAAAGAACTGAAAATATACCAATATCCTATAACCCAAAAATTCTGAAATTGGTATAGGAACAAGAAAATTGGTTTGTTTCCCCATGAATTATTTCCTTGCTTCTGCATCTGCATCATTCCCCCCCAGTTCAAAAAAAAAAAAAACTATGCCCTTGAGTTTTGAAGCGACCAAAATTTGGATTCTTATCTTCGAAAATCACCATCTCAATATGATGAATCTTTTCTTCTTCAAGCACATGGTGAACATTATAGGAAACTTCTAGTGGAACATGTTGGATATCCAAATTTGGTTCTTGATCTACAATAAGCTTTGGTTCTAAACCTAACTGTTCTTCCCCATCAACTGTTTCTAGAGTTGCAGCCTTTGCAGTAAGAACATTAAGGACAATTTCAAGCTGAAATTGTTGCTGCATAGTAGGTGGGCAGCATAGGAACAATGAGCTGAGAGTTTGCTACCAAAAAAATAGGTTTAGACACTCCATTAGATGTGTGGCATTTGAAAAACTTTCACCCATAACAATACCCTTCTCCAACTTGGCATTTAAAATGTTGAGTTTGTGATCTATTTCAGCAAATTTCTACTCAAATTTGTCATCCATTCATCCATTGCAGCAACTTTCTGC